CAGTTTGCTACTGATTTCCTTTCTTTTCATAGAAGGGAACTGACTCAAAGGGAAACCACCCCTTTTCTTCATTCATAGTCAGCTTTCCTCTGCTAGGCAGGCTTCAGATGCTAACAGCTCTCTCTTCTGATCCATTAGAAACCAATCCAAAGCCACTGACATGAGCCATCCAGCTGTGGTTATAAATAGAGTACATGGTGTCAGTATCCTGAGGTATGCAAGACTCTGAAACTGGATATATATATCCCTCTGTGTAGATCTCCAAACTGTCCCTGTGCCTTTCCTAGTTGACATAAGCCAAAGTAGTGCCAGGAAACCATTTTCCACCATGGATTCATATCCTGTCCCTGGTAAAGTTATTAATACAGATGCAGCCTTTAGGTCGTCTCTGTTCTCAGTTCATCACTTCTGCCATGGGATTGTTTTCCTGAATACTCACAATTGTACATGAACTTGAAGTACTTTCTATCAGTACGTAACCTGAAAATATTTTCTTGAGCATGGCTTCAATGGCTGCTCCTTCAACATCTGGGTCTCAAGTTGGAAAGGCCTTAGCTCTATAGGAAGTCTACTAAACTTGTTGAAGGATGAAATTTGAAGCTGTGATCAAATATTGTCATACACATCCCTTCTGTAACAATGTCCCATCTCTTCTTTAGTTCCCTTAATTTCTTCTCAGTAATGCTGTTCCAAAATTACTTTGTCCTGTGAGAGTTTAACTTGACTACCTGCATGACAGAGATTATTTAGCCCAAGAGATACCCGTCTTCAAAATTTTTGGTTTTTTCAAATGTCTTCATATATGATGGCCCGTAGTTAGTTTGGACGGGAAATACTGCAGGAACAGTATCTTGTCATGTTGGTTGAAGGTTTCAGGTCTTACATACTTCTAACACCTCCAGGCCAGCCTTAATCAGACTTTTTCATCCTGCTGTTGAAATGGCAGGCATTTCAAGAAGTTGATTTTTGAGTGAAAAACAGATATCTTCAGCGTTTCCTTTACCATACTGTGAAGCTTGTCCTTCTTTCCAGTTTGTGTAAGTGTAGGTCTGCCCCACCCTCCTAGTGAGAAAGGACAAACTGGAGGATACCTTTATTTTGAAAGGTTGGCCTCCTTATCTCATGGGGCCAAGGGAGTTTTGCAGGGAGACCAAAGAACTCCGTAAAAGTTTCTGCCAGTTCAGTTCAGCCAGTTCTTAACACTGCTGGATAACATGTTGCTGTGAACTCTTGCATCTGGTGTAGCACACACACCTCTTTCCTCTAACTTTCTCTTGTCTGTAGTCATACCCCTCAGGCCGTAACACTGAGTACCCAGCCATGCTTCCAAAACTGCATTACCTAAAGCTGGAAATGTTTAAATGTATTCTCCCTCCACCTCCTCCTGAAATGACCCCCTAAATTCCATGTAGAAGCCTTGGGTTTGCCTCCACCTGGCACTTCCTTATATCATTTTTGCCTAAACCAAAAATCAAGTAAAAAGCCTTCCATCCATCTTCTCCAGCACTGCTCTCGTATCACACACTACAAGCCCAAGTACCTGTTAAGAAGCAGAACTATAACTATAACTAGAAACGGAAGGGCCTAGGAAGAAGAGTTCCACACACACTGCCAGCCCTTACACATAATTGTCAGTTTTGCTGCATCTTCCTGGCTGGCGCTTAGCAGAGCCCCACAACCAGCAACCACAGCAACAATTTACCAGTCATCTCCTGACCAAACTTCTGTCTCTCTCAAAATAAATTAGATCATCTGTACTCTTGCAGATGGATAAGCAGTAGGGTAGTTAGGTACGTGATGGATCTGCAGCTGTCTAGACAGAAGCCAGATTTAGTTAACTTTGCCCTTTTCTGTCTCTGACAAATGAGGATTTGCTAGGACTACATGTGCATAGCACGTTTGAGTTTTTTCCCCTTTTCCTTCCTATCAGCATTTTCAGATATCAGTGGACAATCAATCTAGCTACAAGTGGCTACCTTTCAGTCAGAGCTGACTTCCAAAAAACCAGCAGCTGAGGCACTCCAAAGAAAATAATGGTCTGTCAGATCACCAGAGTTACTGTGGTTATTGTAGTAAAGTTCCGAGTTGCTTCCTTGTTGAAAATTGGTAGTAAGGGTTGGCTTTTTCGGTGGACCTTTGTAAAACCACTGGAAAGTTTAAATTTCACTAGTCTCCATTTTGATGGAGCTGGAACCATTTTGCCTCCTTCAAATTGAAGTGTCATAATAATTCAGACTGGAGGTGATGCCTGAATAAATCAGTGACTAAAAGCTGATTTTTTTTAAAGCTAGATATGAAAACCACACACATTTTTCATCCATGTTACCTTGTCTGATCCGATTACTTCTTTGTACACGAATAATGAATGACAGTCTTCTAGTGGTCTGCCTCAGTTGAAAACACAGATACATCACCAGTCCTGTCAGCAGAACCCGTAGTGTTCCTTTGCATCTTGGTGGCCTCAGCAAGTAAAGGTTTGCGGCAAAGTGAATACATCTTCAACCTCGAAACTGCACTGCTGTGATGTCACCACTGGTTGACTGTGTCATGTGCACAGACCTGCTGTTCTAAAACGTTCAGAGATCAGGGACAAGTCTTTACAGATGCCCTACATGCATTCTATCTTTTAATACCACTAAGTTTGTGCTGTGATATTTCCTGAAGTCTCTGGGGGACTGAAGTTAATTCCTCAAATTCTGTATCGCTGGAATGTGATTTTGTCAGGAAATGCAATACTTAGAAGGCAGGTTGTATGGATTGCTAAGATCTGGACAAAGTTGCGAAGACGTGAGGCACCCAGCCTCTCAAAAACCATAGAAATGACATTTATCTTGCAAAGATCATGAGGTAGGGTTGTTTGTCACCAATTTTCACCAAGCACAGCATTATTTTTCCTGCCAGTGGTGGGTCATGTCTATCCATGCCATGAGTTTATCAGGTAAGGTGGTGCCAAACTCTACTGCAGCATCCTGCCACAGTCAAGCCTGAAGTTTATTGCACCCCAGTTCTCATGCACAGATGACTACTTAGACTAACAACAGAGCTTCACTTTTCCATTCCTCGAAATTAATTGGTTTGCTGGGTGACATCCTCTTGCTGACTAAATTTTGTAGTTGATTTTGCAGTAGCAGCAATAATGTTTTGCTTCCATCACTTTGTGACATATGCATCTAAAAAGCCTTCATGCTACCAGTGGGATGGATTCTGGTTACAGCTTGTACTTGGATCATGTTTTCATTTGAATATTCAAAAAAGGCAGGAGTTTGAGATACTACTACAGTAGCCTTAATTTGAAACAGACTTCACAAGCCTGTCAATCCTTCAGCAGATAACTAAGTTATTTACATGCTTACATTTATGAGAGATCCTAAACAGACTTATAAATAGAACATAAAGTACATGAAAAATCTCAGAATGTCACTGCAGACTTAAAAGTTGCAGTGTAATTGAAAATCAAAGATAAGGTTCACAGAATTTCAGCCCTCAAGTGAAGTAACTGCTAGTTCAGGGAACCAGTTCTTTGTGTTATGTCCTACCAATGAGTGTTAATATTTTTAGATTTCTGGTTATCACTTTTAACAATTAGAGAGAGACTTTTAAGAGCACATCTTAGAACTAGGCCTCCAAAGATTAATGGATTTCATTAATTCATTCATCTACCCTAGATGAGTACTGCTGAGTTTCCATACAAGAAAAACACTCAGACTGGGTCATTCCTTTCCAGTTTCAAAACCACACATTTGAAATGAAGACAATTTCACTAATGATGTGGAAAGACAGAAGCACCGTCTGGGGCATCTTCATCCCCATTAGAGAATGCAGAAAGAGAAGAGAAAGCATTCTGTATTTATTCAGAGCTACACCGTCAATCATCATGAATCTACCTTCTTTTGAAGAGCCCAGAACACACAAGGGTTCATAATTTGGGCAGTGACTAGAAAACAGAAGTATATTCCTGTAATCTGGCAAGACAGATTGCATTTAAATGCACATACAGGCACAGTAAATATAAATAAGGGTAATGAGGATTGGAAGGAATAACTAAATTCTTAAGTGTCATAATAATGGCTTAAGTCTTGACAGGTTACTGCTTAGTTCTTTTTATCTTCAAGGATGCTTCAAGTAATAGGGATGTCTCACTGCAAGAGCTTCAGGGCAAGTAATGTATCCTTGTGTGTCATGCCTGCCACAACAGGGTTTATACCAGTAAACAGGATTGCTTTAAATACCAGAGAAAAAACTGAGAAGTTTAAAATTCCAGGTGTTTCAAAAACATGAAAGAAAACACCCAAACTCCTTACTACTACTGAAAAAGACTACAATAAGGCATGCCTGAAAAGAAACATACTAACCAGTACTGATCCATAATAATCTTGCAGAAGAGCATATATGGGATAGTCACACTATTGCTTTTGAGGCTTAGAAACTTCCAGTAATTGCTTGCATCCTTCCAACCACTTGTGTATGCTATTAGGGTGGCTGAAAAAGGGTTCTGTCCTGAGATACCCACCTCAATCCACATGAAACACTATCCTGAACAAAACCACAGTTTGACTAAACAGCAGCAGCAGGAGATTAAAAAAAAAAATTCCTAAAATCCAAGATAGCAGATGGTAAATCTCAAATTGCAAGCTTTAAGTAACAAGTATGTGCCTTGAAAGGAAAAGAAGCTTGCATCTAAAATTATACTGTGCTGTCTGCTTTCAGAGCAAAAGGACATTTTTGGACTTTGTTATTAAGAGATATTTTCTTTCTTTGCACTTCATCTAATGATAGTTTGTTCTTAAGATGCTATTAAAGGGCACTTTATATTTGGCAATCTGGATAGCAGAGATGAGGACATGGCATTATTTCTTCATTTTGCCTGCATGTTTTAACTTTTAAACATTTTTTAGCTTTTAATAGTGCTTACAAAGTAAAGGGGGAGGGGAGAGAATACATACACTTTAATCAGGTTTGGTTTAGACCATATAGAATAAGACATTAGAAAAGAAAGGCAATTACTTAAAAATAGTTGTATTTATATTTCACAATCTGCTCAAATACTGTTTGTTTGTTGGGTTTTTTTTTGTTTGTTTTTTTATAAACTTTCTCTACAGATGTTTTAAAACAAGTTCTTCACATTGCTTCAACTATGTACTTATGGAATTTGAGGGAAATAGTTCTGGTTGTTTTTACAGTTTAACACATATACAGTACCAAAAGGATGGTGATTAGTCACATGCAGTCCATATGAGATTCTAACATGACATTTAGTGAATTTTCTGATGTTGACCACCCCTTCGATGCTGAAGGTAATGCATCTGTGGAAAGCAAGGACTGTAGATTTGGGTTACTGCTCTCTGCATCTTCCAGTTTTTCAGTGTTGTCCTCCCAATTAATGTGAAATCTTGTGACTCTGGGATTAGATGCCAAAATATTCCTTTGAAGCTGGGAAGGAAGAAAATACATGGATTGTAATGTGTACATGTAAAACAGGAGTTCATATACATACAGATTTTTTTCTTTTTAGTCCTTATAGCCTTGTTTGCATAAAAAAAAATTGTTTAAAAAAGGAATTCACTTCACTGTGAATCTATAGCTACTACCTATGGATCAGAAATGCACTTACAGTACACTACTTAGTAATTTTCCCTAAAATTCTCCTCAGCAAAATAACCTTTCTCACTCAAATTACTCTGTCAAGCAAAATACACTTTCTCAAGAGTATTTTATCTGTTCAGCAAGGTCAAGCCTGTGAAAGAGATCCACAAGTGCAAGTGTTTATTATTTTATCCACCTTTTAGTAAAGCAAGTAACTTCTACCCCCACAAGGATTTTGCAAACCACAAGTACTTCATCAAATTTTGCATAAGCTTTATGGTATTTGCAATACCTATCAATTCCATCAACTTCTCATCTTCATTTAAAAGTACAACCTTATTCTTAAACTACCAAATATTAGACTCATTTCACTAAGAGCATTTATCAATTGAAGTTTTAAAATAAAAACATTTATATTTGGAAGTTACTAACACTGTGGCAGTGGACATGATTAGTCATCTATCTTATTCTCATGGCTGGCCTTCATTTTCTTTTGAAAACATGTTGCATTCGTTTATGTATACAGCAAAAAAACCCCCAAAAAAACTGACTTTTCTCCTTACTTTGGAAAGGGGTCAAAGCTTATATATACTTACCTGGAGGATGGCAACTTGGAGCCAGTGGACACTCACTACAATATTTAAGACTGATCACAGGAAAGGTTTGATTTTATTTTCCAAGAAAGTGTATTCTCATTAAGTATTTCCTGACACCTTATGCAAACTAAAAAGACCATTTCTTTTTTAGAACCTAGTACAGCTTATTACCCAATAATTAATCAATCAGTTTAATAACCTTCTATTTGTGCATTTCCATTTTGTCCCCAAGTCACATAAAGGACTCTATACAACCCTATGATTGCTTTTGCTGTTCTCTTCTGTAGCAGCAAAGCTACCTTTTTATATAACCAGAGAAAGATAAGTACTTCAAGGCATTCTAAATTCAAGTGCTTAACAGGAGTTGCCATTTTGGCATTGATGACCAACATAACAAATAAGTTATGTTTTAAATGAAAGAAATAAAGAAGAAAGGAACATACCCAAAGTTTTTAAATCCTCAAACTTTACTGTCATTTACAGTCTTTTTTTTTTAGTATCTGATAACTGAAAAGAAAGTTAAGCACAGAAAAACATACTATTCCATTTCATCTTTTAATTCTAGTCCTGGTTTAATTATTACCATGAAGGATATATGTTTTTATAACTTTATCTGTATACTTCTTTTGCCAAATTAGACATTTATCAGATAATCATCCAACCAGGCTACCCATGTTCTCTCATTTTACACTTAATTTATTCCTCAGTTTGTTTGTTAAAGTTTTGCAGAAACTAGGTCTGACACTAGAACAGCTGAGTAACAACTGCAGTAAATGAATATCCACAATTTAGTTTCAGGTTGATGGGCCTAGAAAAAAAATTATTCTGTTTTTCTGTAGAACACAGCCATTTTGTAAGCAGCATTGCAGGTGGGAATAAATTCAATGGTTTGTTTCACAGTCAGTGTGAAAGTACAGCCAAGTCTTCAGGATGGTGGAAATTTTTTGATGGTTTCTCAGTATTACCTAAATTTATGACAAGTACATGGCATTTATAGTCTGTCCCCCCAAGTATTTTCAGTTATTTGATGCCTCATTCCATGCACTTTATCAAATCACTTGGGGTTTCGGTTTGTTTCTTAAAAACCTCTTTCTATAAGCATACCTCTGATACACGACTGAAACAAAACATGCCTTACCTTAGAAAAATCTGGCTTTACTGGTGGATTCTCTCTCAGTTCTGTTTCAGTATATTCATTGTTTACATAGTAGCCGACTCTAATAAATTCTTGACCTCGGTAAGTGCACGTAATTAGCACAACTGTTACACCTACTGCATCTGCATCTGGAATAAGCCCTGGGTTAGGTGCATCAGCCTAAATATGAAAGGGAAAGATAAATTAAAATTGATAGCACATGCCTACCTAGCAGGGGAATCTCAAGTAGTGTGTTTCAGCAGTTAAGTAATGGCTATATTTAAAATTGTTCAAGTTAACCAGAAAATATACTGCTTTCACAACATCAACACTAGATTTAGAACACCATCCTCTAATGAGAGAATTGTAGTACAGTAAAATTGTCTGCTGACATTTCTCATGGGCAACTGGCCAGGTTTGATCCAAAACTCCTTTTAAATATATGGTCAGTTGAACCATTGTTCAGACAGGGGTACCAACATTATTCCAGTTCTACAGTACCACAGTTCTCCAGCCCATCTTGGTAATTCAGTAGGGCAAGATTATTTTCTCATACACCCTCAAGATTGAATTGGTCTGTATGTGTCCTCTTAACAAGACTACATCCTTAAAATTACAGACTGCAAATTATATTTTAGCAAGAAAAGGGATGAGCTATGATAAGCCTCGAGCTGTTCCTACAGATTCCTAGGGAAGGAATGAAGTACTTTCTCTGGCTTCATTCCTAATACCTATGTTTGTTAAAATTAATGCAGTTAACTGCATCATCTCTCCAAGACACCTGACATTTTCTACCAGTACGCAAACCTAATTAATATGCAACTGATAGAATCTTCCTCAATTCCTTACTTACCTTGGCCCTGCAGTTACTTATCAATAAAATTTGCCTCATGAAATGTGGCTCACATCAGTCCCTTAAAATGCCTCCTAACTACCAGATCTATTGATAAAATCTGATGCCTGATTCTGCTGCAGGATTTAAAGTAACAGCAATCCAGGCATACTAAAACAGCTTCATATTTACAATTCCACATGAAGATCTGAAGTCAACAGTGAACACCCATGTTGTGAGAACAAGCTGGTATTAGTAATGTGTGTTCAGATGGTTTGGGTGTAACAAACCTCACCTAAAAACAGGATGAATTAATTCCTGTTGTCCTCTCATTCCTACTTTTCTGTAGTATTTATATGCTTCAGCATGGTGAAATTTGGGAGATGCTGCTCATGCAGCATTGGCATCTACTCTTTGCCACTTCAATTCTAAGCCTTCAAACTAGTCTAGCTTTTTGTGAGAAACTGTAGGCACTTCACAGAAGAATTAGATGAGTCAGCCCTCTCAGGTAGAAATATACCCAAGGGAGGAGAAGAAACCAGGAAATCAGGTAGAATTCATCTTCCACCATCCCTGAAGGAAATAGAAAATGACTGAATAGCTTTACAACTAGCATAGGGGAATGGAAAGGATGGCCAAAAACCAGAAAAAAATTAGAGAAGCTAGAGGAAATCACAAGAACTGCCAATACAGATTAAATCATTACTTTAATTCAGTACTTCTTGTTCTAACAGTGGCCAGAACTATCTGATCACTTTAAATTCCACAGTAATGGGCAACAGAAGAACCATATTACATTTAACTTCCCATTAAACTCAATTCACATTCTAATGTAGGATCTTAGTCTTCCAGGTGCCCACTGTCATTTTCTGTCTTGTAATATCCTGTGACACAGTTCTGAACCCAAGGAAATACTCTATTCTAATCCTACTTATCTCTCAAGCATTGTTTTGCTGCATGAAAAAGATACTGAAGACTGTTTTAAACAGTTTTCTCAAATTTTCAATTTCTTGGTTTTGTCAACCTCTTAATTACTTGGGAACCAATAATGATACACAGATGGCAGAAAAAAATAAGAGCTTGGTATGACCAAATGATAAATAAGCAGATTATATGCAAACAGATATTTTGGTGGGCAGAGGCAGTAGATTAATTTTTGCATAAAAGTCACTGTCTTAATCTGCCATTCTTCTGCTATAAATTACTTAAGAATTTTATGAAATCAGTCTTTATGTTGCCTTGAATTATCTTGCTTTTCCACATGATATTTATTCTCATAGCTATTGCTGCAGAGTAGGTAGCAACGGTTATACGTACACTTAAGGATTGTAAATTATTTATACACTTGTATGCTCAAAAAGAAGTTTCTGTGACTTTATTACAAATTCCCAAGAAGGAATCAGATTTCACTACATATATCTTGGGATTTAGAAACAAATAGGCCAAGTTGTGGGCCTTTACTATTGAAACCCTTCTAAAGGTAATGTTTTGGTGTTTCAAAACAAAGAGCTGCTTTTGTAAGTCTGAAAAGCACAATAATAGTCCATCTTTCTGTAAGGCTGAATTCCCAACCTGATTCACATCTTTTTATCTAAGGTATTTTTATCATCCTTGGTAATCTATCTGTGTGGTACTGCATTTTAGTTGCTATTTCAGCCATTTTCCTATCTAGAAAAATCTACAACAGATTATCTGAAAATTTTATACTCCTCTGCAAAGGTTCTTTCCTTATGCTATTCCCCATGAACACAATCTCTTTTCTTTGTGTCACATGCCTCCTGCAGTTCTGTGCTTTGCCCCATTCTTGCTTTCCCTTGCTTGTTTTCTCTGTATCCCAGGCTGCTTCAGCTTGGTGAATAAAATTGCTTCAGTGATCAGCAAAGGCTTCTTGCAGCACTTTGGGTTTTGGTGGTCTCCTGTGTACACATGTGCTAAATCCTACCCTCGCCTGAAATCCAGAGCCTTCGAAGCGTAGTATACTCAGACCCAACCATACTGCATAAGAAATAAAAAGTATATTTTAACAGATAGAATATCTTACAGGACCTACTCCAATCTAAACAAAATCTCTATACATCTCTTCCTAATTTAGCTGTAGTGTCATTTATAACCAAGATACAATTTGAGTCCATTCTACAGAAACTGCAAGACCAGTAAATTTAATTTGAGACCTGCCTTATCATACAGCAAAAACATGCCTTTTTTAAGGCACCTGCTTCTTGCTCCTTCCCATCACCATCAACTAAGACTCTTTGGACCTTTAACTGAGAACAGTGCATCTTCAAATTAGAAATGTAAATGCCAGCTAATTTTCCACTATACAAACACAAGGTAACCCCTCTGAGAGCAATAGAGAATCTCCTATTTCTGACCAATTAATGCCATAAGCTACAATGGCCTGATAATGGAAAAACTGTTAATAAATGATGCATTTGTTACACATCTGCTTTATTCGTAGCATAGAAAAATTAAGCCTGGCTCCAAAACCAAACAGAACATTTCAACACTGATTTGCATGTATGCAGTTGATAAATGCAGCAACCTCCAGTCTAATCCTATTCCTTAAGCCTGTTCTTTAAGGAAAAAAAACCAAAACAAAAAGGCCCAAATAAATAAACACCCCCAAAATGCCAAATAAACTACCTGTCCTGGAATTTACAGGATTAATCAGGATCGCCTCACAAATGTTGATATTATTTCATACCAGTTACAGTAACCATGACAAATAAGGGAATCAGCTTCATCAGAACTTTGGGGTTCTTTAATGCTCTTACTTCAGCATGCCTTTGCCATTAGTTAAGTGAATTTATAGCATTTGGGAAAATAGCAGAGTTCTTATACAATAAAACATACTCAGTTTCTATCTGATTTTTTTATCCAATGGATTTTGCTGTCAGTTTACAAAAATAAATGCTAGAAAATGTGTTAGTTTTAATAAAAATTATAGTTTTGAATAAAAAAAACCACAAACAAAAACACCCCACCACCAGAAAAGAAGTTATCCCAAACAAAAGAAAGCTTCTGTTAGAATTCGGGCAAGTCCACTTCAAGTTTCCCCCCTGCTTCTCACCAAGTTAAACAGAAACAAGTCTAGGCCAGTAAGGCATCTTAGTGTTGCTCTTTCCCCGTTTTCTTTTCCTTTGTTATTCCTTATTAATTTTTGGCTTTAACAGCAGTATTTTATAGGACTGTCACATGTTCCAGACTTTTCTGCACAGTCTTAATCTACACGCTTGTGTCCTAAATACCTCCCATTTACCACCAAATTTCTACCTTTGTTTTAGAAATCACTGTATTTTGTTATGATTTAGCATGCTTAGCCAAACATCACAGTTGACCATGTGTTCTGCCAAACAGAAACAAGCTTCTTGATTATTCTGGCTGAGACAAACTAATTTTACAATTAGTTTGTTGCTCTGATCCTCTGAAGGTATTGTCTACATTAACCTAGTGCTCCTAGATTGTCTGAAACTGCCACCACCAGCAGAAGAGGTGAGCCTTATAGTGCTGGTGTAAACCAGGCAACTGGCACTGCTGATTATGAACCAGACTGGTTAAAATTATCAGTAGCTATGGGAACTGTACTTTTATCAGCTATTATTGATACCACAAATAAAAAATATAACCAAGAAGTATCGGGGCAAGAAGTACAAACTCAAGAACAGAGTTTAAAGGAAGGCCTATCATAACTGAGGAGCTCACTGCAAATTTTTTTACCAATATTTTTCAAATGCCTCTTAGTTTGATACAGTTATCCCTAAATAAATTAGCACAACTTTTAGAAAGGGTTAAATCAAACTTACCTGAAATACAAACATGTGTCTTCCTGCAGGAACAGGTCCAACTAAAACAGAGTCTAACACCTGATCATACTCTTCACTTTCAGCTGAACCCACATAAATTATTTTCCATTCCAAATCTACATAAAAAAGAAAAAAAACCAAACATTATTTATCATTACAATTAGGGGGTCTTCCACTCTTGCCCATCTACAGCTTTGCATAGCTAAAACTACTTCTTTGCCAACAAGCCTAAAATAACAAGGACCTGTCCTCATCAGAAAAATTTAGTGATGCATGACCCTGTCCTCATGAACCAGATCATCCCATTTTCTCTAGGCAGCTGTATCACAGGAATCCCTTTATTTTTACAGTAAGGTTAATTTTCACAATTTATACAGAGAACAGGGCTTTTTTACTAATTGGGTGCTGTGTTGAGCATCTTCTCAAAGTCTGTCAGAATGGCAGCAGCAGAGGGATGATGCCTATAAATCATCACATCCTATAAACCATCACATCACATACTGACTACCAAAACCAAAATTTCCACCCTCCACATACACACCTCACAGCTTAAATAAATTACACAGATCATGGAAAGTAGTTAATTGAGTAAGAAACCCACTGGGTAAGCTCCAGACACACTAACTGTATGTCCCCATTCCTTCATATGTCACTTGTGTTACCTGGGAACTACATAAAATTTGATAGCATGACATTCATTTTTTTCTAACTCAGCCTCTTCCCCACAGATGTTTTAAAGTTGAAACTGCAAATTAGCCCAAATTAGCTCTTCCTGGGTCAGCTTTTCACCTTCCCTTTTTGATTCAAAAACCAGTATTATTTCACACATACAAAACTAATCTTGCAAGACAGATTTTGGGGTTATTAAAACAAGAGGGAAAAAAAAAAGACCACCATGACAAAAAATTATAACTAACACTTCTTAATTACTGCATCTTAAAAACTTACATGGTGTATTTCTTTTTTTTCTCCCTTGTGAACAATGCCTTGATTGCCTTTGCAAAAGCACAAACCTGTGAGCTATTACATTAACTTGATTAGCACACTCGGCAAAATTCTAAGGTCTGCCTCATGGTTTCTGGATGCAGGAATGGAATTTAAGCATAGAAAAAAAAATTAGCACTTGGAACAGAACTTGCCTGCTTTAAGTTTGCAACTCTCTTTTCTCATTAGTGAATTCTTCTTGCTTATCTTATTTAGCATTAGTGCAGGTTTAGCTATCATAATAAACAGAGCTTGGGAAGGGATTTTACTCCTCTGTACAACACAGCACATTTTCCCAGGTACTGTATCAGTTTTATATACCTTTTAAGCATGAAGCTGCTGCTAGTATTGCAGGGTACTCATCCAATATAATTGAGGAACTTTCTTTTCTGCATCTGATGACAAATTACTACTTACAAGAAGTGAGGACTTTTAGGCTAAACTGCTTAAGACTATCCCACAATCCTGTACCATTATTCTTGAACAGTGTAAAACTTCCTCTAAACAACCCATAGTATTTAGTACTAAAACTAGACCTTTTAAAATAAAGTTTAAATGTTATTTAAGTATGTTGATACAGAACAACAACTTTGAGAAAGAGAGGGCTGGTGTTAATGGATTTAATTTTAGCATCAGTGTTGCAGAGGACTGAAAACAGCAGAGTAAACAGACGTATTAGCATAGGAAAGTTAAGGCAATTACTTTCCAGCAAGTATACAATGGCTGTATTTAATCTTATTTTTAAATGTGGAAGATAGTAGCGCTCATCCCTAATTTATCCTAGTGTCTAACTTCCATGTTGGTGGGGGAAAGGAGCTGAGAATTTCGCATTGGACCACCTATAATTCTTCTCATCACAACTGCCCAGATTAACTTTAACATAAATACTGAGCGTGAGGAGCACATCACATACAGCCGTGCACAACTGGAAGGAAAGGCCTAAGATATTGCAGAGCCCCTGTGACGGGCACTGCCACAGCAGCTGCCTCGGAGGGGGTCCGATGCTGCACTTCTGATGGGGCAGGCCGATCGGAGATACCCAGCCAGCAACGTGGCGGGGCACGGAGCTCGGTCAGTTGCCAGAAGGCAGGAGACGGGCTGCGGAGGCCCGGAGGAAGCCCTGGCTCAGGCGAGACTTCCTCCGAAGTTCCCGCCACGGCGGCGTCCCTCCTTTCCCGCGCTGTCACCGTCCCGCCGGCACGCACGAGTACGCGCTGCTGCAGAGGCAGGCGGGGTGAAGCGAGTTAAACCGCAGCGACAGCGAGCCTGCCAGGGCACCTTAGCCAGGACAGCATGCAACTCCCCTTCTCCTTCGCCGTGCCCTCGCCCCTCCGCCCGCGGGGCTCTCTGGCGAGCAGGCGGCGCCGGGCTCCGCCGAGCAGGCAGCGTCCTCTCCCGCTCGCAGGCAGCCCAGCTGGGCGGCCTCCTGCTGTCGGGCGGCGGGCGCCCCGCATTGCCTCCCTCGCCTCGCCCCGAGCCGTTCGAAACTCCCGCCCGCGGGGCGACGCGCGGCCTCTCGGGCGCGTCCCGCGGCCGCCCGGGGGGCGGCGCTGCGGAGCGCGGCCGGGGCGAGGGCGGCTCGCGGCCCGCCCGGCTCGGGGGAAGGCGGGAGCGCGGCGGCGGCCCCGGCTCAGGACGGGGGTCCCCGTGAGGCAGCAAGGTCGGGGCCAGCCCCCACCCGCTGGCGGCTGCCGGCAACTTTCGAGTGACTTCCAAAAATAGTGGCAGGCGGGCGGCCCCCTTCCCCCCCGGCGGGGGCTCACGCAGCCAGCGCTCCCCTCCGAGCCGTGCCGCTGACCCCGCGCACCTACCGCGGCCGCCTGCTGCTGGCATGCGGGGCCAGCCAGTCAGCCCGCCCCAGCTCCCACCGTGATTTTTTTTTTTTTTTTTTTTTTTTTTTTGTATTAAAATGGAGCACGAGGCCATCGAAACGCATCCCCGCGGAGCGTTTTCCGCGTTTCGAGTACCGCCGCGGCAAAACAGGCAGCATCCCGTGTGCCCGCGGGGATGCGCGGCCGCCGAGCCCGGTTCAACCCTCCTGTCTCCCGCTCGCTCCCCCCACGCACACACAAAGCTGGCAACATGGCTACCTCCACTCTAACAAGTTCCTCGCAACTTGAGGCAGCTCGCCGCCTCGCCGATGGCGGGGAAAGGCGGCGGGCCCGGCTCGGCGCCCAGAGCGGGCAGACACCGCCAACTTTCCCCAGCGCCGGGCTCGGCGGGAGCGGCACATCCCCTCGCCCGGCCGGCACATCCCCTCGGCTCGGCACGGCGATGCGGCCGAGCTGGAGAGACTGTTAAATTGTAGGCGCAGGCCTGTGCAAAGTTTAAGCCTTAAATGCCCCGAGCTCAGAGCCCGGGGTTGCAAAATCCGTATCGGGGAGAAAAATTTTACTCACCTTCAGACAGGTCCTCTATGCACTCGAATGTGATTTCGAACTGGAAAGGATTGTAGAAAGGAGAAGGATTATCCAACACCACTACATTGTTCACCTGAACCTTTGCCATATTTTGGAAAAAAACACAAACAATAGGCAGAGCGTCTTAACGCCGCGCACTAAAGTCCTCCGTGCCGGGCTCCCGCACCGCACAAGCCCCCGCGCCGCTGCCCGAGCGAGGCTGCAGGGCGGCGACTTCCACAAACTTTTTTTTTTTTTCGCCTCCCCCTTTTATTTACACCGGGAACGCTCCACACTGTTCGCCGCTTTCCCTATTTCGCTCAACTACAGCCCATTCTGCCCCTGCTCGCCGCCAGCGCCCGCCCGGATTGGCCGCTCGCCGGGCGAGGGCCCTCCCTCCGCGGGCACGGCGGGCACCGAGCGCCGGCCAGAGCGGCCTCCGCGCGCGCCCGCCCCGCGCCGCCCCCGCCGCAGCGCCCCCGCCCGGCGCGCGCCGGCAACGGCCGCCGGCAACCGCCAACGGGCCGGGGCGGGGCCGGGGCGGGGCCGGGGCGGGAGATGAGCCGGGTGCGGCTGAGGGAGGCGCGGAACGCCTGCTCCTCTGATTTCCCGGAAAAGGACTGAGCTTATCTCTTTTCTTCTTCTACTTCTTTTTTTTCTTTTTTTTTTTTTTTTTTTTTCTCCTTTCTTCTGTGTGCTTTAAAATCCAGGCAAGGGGAAAATCAGGAGGAAAGATCTTACCACACAACTTGTCAGACCTCCAGTCACGACCAAAAGGGACACTTCCCCAAAAGGGACACTGCTGCCTTGTAATGATTTTATTTAAAAGAGAAAATTAAGTCCTAAGATGCGACTTCATTTCAATTGCTGGCATATAGCTTATGGGACTGTGTTTACCCTGCCTACCACAATAACTTCTATTAAAAATGATAAGGTTTAGATTCATCTATAGGAAATGCTTCTTGCATAAGTGTATTATTTTTAAAGTTGTGAACCATATGAGCTGAAGAAGAAATTAATTTCATTTCAGAATGTTCCATCTTCTGCAAGTTGTAAACAATGTAAGACCACATCCAGCTTGGAAAGTGTCCTAAGCTGAAAATTGAGGCTGGAAGAATAGTAGGGCAAAATATCATACTAAATTAGAACCATGGGTAGAACAGGAACAAAAGATAATATTTTGTCCATTCACTTTAGGCAAAAAGTTAAAGAAGCACTGTATCTCAACAAGACAAAAAACTGCCTGCAATTAGAGCTCATTTAAGTTTTATTTAACCTTATTTATAAAAGGGAAGATTCAGAAGTTTTTTAAATAATCCTAAGTGTTTTTTTGTATGCTAAGATTGTGCAGTATTGTACAAACAGCAACTGCAAAACTGTCTGCTTGGGAAGAATGAAAAACTACTGTCAGTCCAGCACTCAGGATGAAATTGTTCCCAACACCTCCCAGAACAAGCACTTTTGCTGTCACAATGCACAAAATGAGTCTAATCAAGTAGGAAGGTGCATTAAGCTTTCAGCATCCCCTAAGAAGAATGAAAGCAGTGATTCACTTACAGACTAAACCATCTTGCCTGTAGGGCTCCACCATGTGCAGAGGGACACTCTCATTTTGGGGTCATTTCAGCTCTTTGGGTTTTTGTTGTGCTTTGTTTAGTGGGTTTTTATCTTCCTGTTTCTGTGCTGGTTGTGCTGGGTGCTGGTGGGGTCTCGGGTGCTGCTGCTGGGGCTGTGGGAGAGGCCACCCAGGAGGGGCTGTGCAGGAACCAAGCGCGCCTGTCACACGGCCGCGCTGTCAGGAAGCCATCCCCTTCCTCTGTTTGCAGAAGGCTTGGGTACCCTGAAGCACTACGATACAGGACATATGTGCCTGCACAGCAGCACTGCCAGCGAGGGGCCCTGTGTGCGGCTGGGAAGCCATCTTGTGTGGCAGCAGGAGCCCGCAGCAGAGGCCATCCCATGGCTGCCATGCACAGGGGACAGCGCCGAGCAGAGTGACGCAGCACTGCAGTGCCAGTGACGTCCCTCACGGCCCGGGGGGAGAGCAGAAAGTGCCCGTGGCTCCAGGGGTGCAAGGTGTGTACCCCCACTACAGAATATTCAGAAATAAATAGAGCAGCCAGGCTCTAGTACTGCCTAGTACTCTGTGTTTCTATAATTCTGCTGTGTGATTGATTGCCCACGTTGTTCGGCACACAGTCCAGGAAAACCAAGAAAGACTGGACATGGTGGAGCAGAATTCTTACTACAAGTTGAAGTACATATTATGTTATCAGGAAGCATTTAATTCCAGTAACTTTTTGCTGGTCATTTGCAAACAAATAGGTACTGTGGTGGGCTGCACAGTGATGAGAAGGTCTTGATGATGAGCCAAATGGTGAGGTAGGGGGGATCCTTGTGCAGGTTTTGCCATAGAATTGCAGGAGATTTTAGGCTGGTTGCAGCTTGTCAACTACTAGGATATTTTGAGCTGAGCACTGGAATGGAAAAGAAGGGCTAAAGATAGAGAAGAAGCAGGGAAATAGGGAATAGAAGGATTGGAGGGAGCTGCACATACTAGCTAATGAGTGGCCATTTCCACAGTTATGCAGGGGTTTTGACTGGCTATCCACCCAGTGTTGTATCATGTGTATATTTACTAGAAAACTTTTTATTTCTTCCCTCATTTCATTCTTGGTCATCTTTGGATTTTCATTTTTGCCTAATGCTTAGAGGAAACCAAATCATAAAGAAATTTTAATTTCCTTAGGTTATTTTTTTTCCAAGCTTTGATTTGAAGCTCCAAAATTTCTGTCCATTTAAATAGCTGATGTGGAGGAAGACCTGAATGGGTGCATTCCATGAGTTTACAATTATTGCCTTTGCCCCAAATTTCAGTATGATCAGCGAGATCTACTATTTATACCCTAATCTTTTTTGTTCATTTAACAAAGTTCTAAAACAAATCACAATCCAAACATGGGAAGCATAACAGAATCTGCTCCACAGCTCCAAGCTAACCTGCCTCAGCACCAGTGGGATTGCTTGCTGGTAGCTGTAAAGTGAGTTAAGTTATGTGGTAGAAGTACATGATAGAACTTTCCTGCTGGTTTGCCCTCCGTCTATGGCTCAAGCCACTGTGCTGGGTCCCTTTCTTTCACTCAAGTTTACTCTTGCATTTTAAGGAAGAGACTGACTGAAGTATTTGATTCTTTAGGTTTGACAGTGACTGCTGTGAAGGAATTTGGGGAGTGGAATTTGGAAGCTGGAGCACTGGTGCTTGCAGATGGAGGCCTCTGCTGCATAGACGAGTTCAATAGTATCAAAGAACATGACAGAACCAGTATCCATGAGGCAATGGAGCAACAAACCATCAGTGTTGCAAAGGCAGGGTAAGTGGCATGTTAGCACATGTAAGAAAACAACACGAGATTTTTTTTCTCTTGTACTTATTTGTTGGAGGGATGCTGATTAAATATATTTGTTTTCTTCATTGTATGCAATAGTTTTGTTGTCAACAATATTCCTAAACTAGACAAGTAAGCATTTCATAGGACAGTGCACTAGACCAGAGGCTGCAAGCAATCAGACTAAATACATACTCTCTTTGCTGCTGGGTTTTCAATCTACTGCTACAGGACAGGGCACTTTTCTGCAAAGACTTGGCATTCCTTTTCTTGCCCTTTGCTACAAGTGGTTGTAATAGTCCTATGTGAAATGAGAAGCTTTGTGATTTTTTTTTGTTGCAACTCAGAAAGTGGGGCTTCATTTTTCCAAAACCACAAAATCACTGAGTCATTAAGTTTGGAAAAGATTTCAAAGATCATCAAGTCCAACCTATGACTGATCACCACCTTGTCAACTAAACCATGGCACTAAGTGCCATGTCCAGTCAATTCTTGAACATCTTCAGGGATGGTGACTCCACCACCTCCCTGGGCAGACACTTTTCCAGTGAATAAATTCTTCCTGATGTTCAACCTGAACCTTTCCTGGCACAGCTTGAGGCTATGTCCTCTTGTCCAGTAAAATCCAGTAATATTGCTTGGTAACCAAAGCACATCAGGAGATTTCAAGGCTGCTGTATTTTCCAAGAGATTTGCAGGCTGCTGAATTTTATATGTTGGGTGTGGCATAAATATAAACTCCTGTTTACTTTAAGCCCTTCCCTTTCTTTTTTCAAAGTAGTGTGTGTTCAAATCTGCTATCCCCCCTACTACCCCTTCCTACCACTTAGATCTTTGAGCTCATATTTCAGTTTATCAGTTATATGCAGTTCTTATTCAGGCCCAAATTATTTTCTGGCTGGTATTTCTGACATCTCTGCTACTCAAAAGGCATCACCCTTTCCACATTCCTTCTTACCACCTTCCACTCAGCTCTTGCTCCAGCTGCATCTTGGCTTATCTACCTGATGTCCTTCCCTTATTCTGAGCATCTCCATCCTCTTCATCAGACAGCAGACAAATA